TGTTACTCAGTGCCAGAGAATTGTTACTCAGGGACAGACAGAATTGTTACTGAGTGCCAGAGAATTGTTACTCAGGGCCACAGAAACTTTACTTAGGGCCACAGAATTTTTACTCAGGGACAGACAGAATTGTTACTGAGTGCCAGAGAATTGTTACTCAGGGACAGACAGAATTGTTACTGAGTGCCAGAGAATTGTTACTTAGGGCCACAGAAACTTTACTTAGGGCCACAGAATTGTTACTCGCACAGACACACAGAATTGTTACTCAGTGCACAGACACAGAATTGTTACTGAAGGCCACAGAACTGTTACTTAGGGCCACAGAATTGTTACTCGCACAGACACAGAATTGTTACTCGCACAGACACAGAACTGTTACTGAGGGCCACAGAACTGTTACTTAGGGACAAAGAAACGCTAGTTAGGGCCACAGAATTGTTACTCAGGGACAGACAGAATTGTTACAGACAGAGAATTGAATTGTTACTGAGTGCCAGAGAATTGTTACTCAGGGACAGACAGAATTGTTACTGAGTGCCAGAGAATTGTTACTTAGGGCCACACAGAAACTTTAATTAGGGCCACAGAATTTTACTCAGGGACAGACAGAATTGTTACTCAGTGCCAGAGAATTGTTACTCAGGGACAGACAGAATTGTTACTGAGTGCCAGAGAATTGTTACTCAGGGCCACAGAAACTTTACTTAGGGCCACAGAATTTTTACTCAGGGACAGACAGAATTGTTACTGAGTGCCAGAGAATTGTTACTCAGGGACAGACAGAATTGTTACTGAGTGCCAGAGAATTGTTACTTAGGGCCACAGAAACTTTACTTAGGGCCCCACAGAATTGTTACTCAGGGACACAGACACAGAAATTGTTACTCGCACAGACACAGAATTTGTTACTCAGGGCCAGAACAAATTGTTACTTAGGGCCACAGAATTGTTACTCTCAGGGACAGACAGAATTGTTACTCGCCAGAGAATTGTTACAGACACAGAACTGTTACTGAGGCCACAGAATTGTTACTTAGGGACAACAGAAACTGTTACTTAGGGCCACAGAATTGTTACTCAGGGACAGACAGAATTGTTACTGAGTGCCAGAGAATTGTTACTCAGGGACAGACAGAATTGTTACTGAGTGCCAGAGAATTGTTACTACTTAGGGCCACAGAAACTTTAATTAGGGCCAGACAGAATTTTTACTCAGGGACAGACAGAATTGTTACTCAGTGCCAGAGAATTTGTTACTCAGGGACAGACAGAATTGTTACTGAGTGCCAGAGAATTGTTACTCAGGCCAGAGAAACTTTACTTAGGACCACAGAAACTTTAATTAGGGCCACAGAATTTTTACTCAGGGACAGACAGAATTGTTACTGAGTGCCAGAGAATTGTTACTCAGGGACAGACAGAATTGTTACTGAGTGCCAGAGAATTGTTACTCAGGGACAGACAGAATTGTTACTGAGTGCCAGAGAATTGTTACTTAGGGCCACAGAAACTTTACTTAGGGCCACAGAATTTTTACTCAGGGACAGACAGAATTGTTACTGAGTGCCAGAGAATTGTTACTCAGGGACAGACAGAATTGTTACTGAGTGCCAGAGAATTGTTACTTAGGCCACAGAAAATTTTACTTAGGCCACAGAATTTTTACTCAGGGACAGACAGAAATTGTTACTGAGTGCCAGAGAATTGTTACTCAGGGACAGACAGAATTGTTACGGAGTGCCAGAGAATTGTTACTCAGGGACAGACAGAATTTTTTACTGAGTGCCAGAGAATTGTTACTTAGGGCCACAGAAACTTTAATTAGGGCCACAGAATTTTACTCAGGGACAGACAGAATTGTTACTGAGTGCCAGAGAATTGTTACTCAGGGACAGACAGAATTGTTACTGAGTGCCAGAGAATTGTTACTCAGGGCCACAGAAACTTTTACTTAGGGGGCCACAGAATAGAATTACTTACTCAGGACAGACAGAATTGTTACTGAGTGCCAGAGAATTGTTACTCAGGGACAGACAGAATTGTTACTGAGTGCCAGAGAATTGTTACTCAGGGAGAGACAGAATTGTTACTGAGTGCCAGAGAATTGTTACTTAGGGCCACAGAAACTTTAACTTAGGGCCACAGAATTTTTACTCAGGGACAGACAGAATTGTTACTGAGTGCCAGAGAATTGTTACTCAGGGACAGACAGAATTGTTACCGAGTGCCAGAGAATTGTTACTCAGGGACAGACAGAATTGTTACTGAGTGCCAGAGAATTGTTACTTAGGGCCACAGAACTTTAATTAGGGCCACAGAATTTTTACTCAGGGACAGACAGAATTGTTACTGAGTGCCAGAGAATTGTTACTCAGGGACAGACAGAATTGTTACGAGTGCCAGAGAATTGTTACTCAGGGCCCCAGAAACTTTACTTAGGGCCAGAGAATTTTTACTCAGGGACAGACAGAATTGTTACTGAGTGCCAGAGAATTGTTACTCAGGGACAGACAGAATTGTTACGGAGTGCCAGAGAATTGTTACTCAGGGGCCACAGAAACTTTACTTAGGGCCACAGAATTTTTACTCAGGGACAGACAGAATTGTTACTGAGTGCCAGAGAATTGTTACTCAGGGACAGACAGAATTGTTACTGAGTGCCAGAGAATTGTTACTCAGGGACAGACAGAATTGTTACTGAGTGCCAGAGAATTGTTACTCAGGGCCACAGAAACTTTACTTAGGGCCACAGAATTTTTACTCAGGGACAGACAGAATTGTTACTGAGTGCCAGAGAATTGTTACTCAGGGACAGACAGAATTGTTACTGAGTGCCAGAGAATTGTTACTCAGGGCCACAGAAACTTTATTAGGGCCAGACCACAGAATTTTTTACTCAGGGACACAGACAGAATTGTTACTGAGTGCCAGAGAATTGTTACTCAGGGACAGACAGAATTGTTACGGAGTGCCAGAGAATTGTTACTCAGGGACAGACAGAATTGTTACTGAGTGCCAGAGAATTGTTACTCGCTTAGGGCCACAGAAACTTTAATTAGGGCCACAGAATTTTTTTACTCAGGGACAGACAGAATTGTTACTGAGTGCCAGAGAATTGTTACTCAGGGACAGACAGAATTGTTACTGAGTGCCAGAGAAATTGTTACTCAGGGACAGACAGAATTGTTACTGTTAGGTGCAGACAGAGAATTGTTACTTAGGGCCACAGAAACTTTAATTAGGGCCACAGAATTTTTACTCAGGGACAGACAGAATTGTTACTGAGTGCCAGAGAATTGTTACTCAGGGACAGACAGAATTGTTACGGAGTGCCAGAGAATTGTTACTCAGGGCCACAGAAACTTTACTTAGGGCCAGAGAATTTTTACTCAGGGACAGACAGAATTGTTACTGAGTGCCAGAGAATTGTTACTCAGGGACAGACAGAATTGTTACGGAGTGCCAGATAATTGTTACTCAGGGCCCCAGAAAACTTTACTTAGGGCCACAGAATTTTTACTCAGGGACAGACAGAATTGTTACTGAGTGCCAGAGAATTGTTACTCAGGGACAGACAGACAGAATTGTTACTGAGTGCCAGAGAATTGTTACTTAGGGCCACAGAAACTTTACTTAGGGCCACAGAATTGTTTCTCGCACAGACACAGAATTGTTACTCGCACAGACACAGAATTGTTACTGAGGGCCACAGAACTGTTACTTGGGGCCACAGAAACGTTAATCAGGGACACAGAATTGTTACTGAGGGCCACAGAACTGTTACTTAGGGCCACAGAATTGTTACTCGCACAGACACAGAATTGTTACTCAGGGACACAGAATTGTTACTCAGGGACACATAATCGTTTCGTTTAATTAAAGAGTATGTCAGACAACATGCAGAGGAGTGGCAGAGGAGGCAATGTTTTAGGAGCGAGCAGACGTGGCAGCAGAGGAAGGGGTCGAGGCAGCACTATTCGCAGCCAGAGGCCAGTGCTCCCGGTGTCATCCAGCGGTCGTGTCTCCACCGACAACCCTGCCGTCGTCGATTGGTTGGCTCGGTCGTCTTCCTCTTCCCAGGTCACCTCTGACACCTACAGCCAACGGTCGGTGGTGGGTACGTCAGACACAACCGTTAGTTGGCATGGCCCGGGACCCAAGCCCACTGAAATCACGTGTCCTCTACCTGCCCCTGTCCTTTGGTGTTCCCTCACCAAGCGAAGTATCGCATGCTGTGGGCTCAGCCCCACTGTACAGTGAGGAAGAGCTAACAGAGGGCGGTCAGGAACGGGGGGAGACATCCGCCTTTTCAGCAGCCAGGCGAAGAAGTAGTGGCGAGGAGAGTGGCTCGGTAGCCGGTCTAGAGACAGGTCTGTCTCCTGACCCAGACGCAGCCGAGGGGGCTAGTAGTGAGGCGGAGACCCTACTTGATGATGAGGAGGTTGATCGCACTTGGCAGCCTCGTCGTCATCAGGCAATTTTTTCCGCATCATCAGGAGAAGAGGGTGGCAGCTTGGCAGCGAGCAAAACAGTCGGTGGGCTGCCCAGGACAGCAGCAGGGTCTGCCATGGGCCCCTAACGGCCACGGGAGTACCGCCTCCCACTGCAGCCTACCACCACAGTGTCTCAGCCATGTGCCACTTTCAGGTCTCAGCAGTCACACCAGTGCTGGTGTATCGTTGAATTTTTACATAGGGTGCTGGGCAGATTAAGGGCCTCCCATAGCTGCTGCCAGGCCCCTAATCTGCCATAGGCCCCTATATACCGCCTCCTCCTCATCATGCTGCTGCCAGGCCAGAGTCTGTCATGGGTCCCTGTACGGCCTCCCCCCATTGCTGCTGTCTCCATCGCCACACTCTCTGCCATGTGCCACTTTCAGGTCTCCTCACACACTGCTGGTGTGTAGAATTTTTTGACATAGGGTGCTGGCAGATTACGGGCCTCCCATAGCTGCTGCCAGGCCCCTAATCTGCCATAGGCCCCTATATACCGCCTCCTCATGCTGCTGCCAGGTCCAGAGTCTGTCATGGGTCCCTGTACGGCCTCCCATTGCTGCTGTCTCCATCGCCACACTCTGCCATGTGCCACTTTCAGGTCTCCTCCTCACACTGCTGGTGTGTAGAATTTTTTGACATAGGGTGCTGGCAGATTATGGGCCCTCCCATTGCTGCTGCCAGGCCCCTAATCTGCCATAGGCCCCTATATACCGCCTCCTCATGCTGCTGCCAGGTCCAGAGTCTCTCATGGGTCCCTGTACAGCCTCCCATTGCTCTGTCTCATCGCCACACTGCCATGTGCCACTTTCAGGTCTCCTCACACACTGCTGGTGTGTAGAATTTTTTGACATAGGGTGCTGGCAGATTATGGGCCTCCCATAGCTGCTGCCAGGCCCCTAATCTGCCATAGGCCCCTATATACCGCCTCCTCATGCTGCTGCTGCCAGCTGTCATGGTCCCTGTACGGCCTCCCATTGCTGCTGTCTCCATCGCCACACTCTGCCATGTGCCACTTTCAGGTCTCCTCACACACTGCTGGTGTGTTGAATTTTTTGACATAGGGTGCTGGCAGATTATGGGCCTCCCATAGCTGCTGCCAGGCCCCTAATCTGCCATAGGCCCCTATATACCGCCTCCTCATGCTGCTGCCAGGTCCAGAGTCTGTCATGGGTCCCTGTACGGCCTCCCATTGCTGCTGTCTCCATCGCCACACTCTGCCATGTGCCACTTTCAGGTCTCCTCACACACTGCTGGTGTGTAGAATTTTTTGACATAGGGTGCTGGCAGATTACGGGCCTCCCATAGCTGCTGCCAGGGCCCCTAATCTGCCATGGCCCCTATATACCGCCTCCTCATGCTGCTGCCAGGTCCAGAGTCTGTCATGGGTCCCTGGCCGGCCATCCCATTGCTGCTGTCTCCATCGCCACACTCTGCCATGTGCCACTTTCAGGTCTCCTCACACACTGCTGGTGTGTAGAATTTTTTTGACATAGGGTGCTGGCAGATTATGGGCCTCCCATAGCTGCTGCCAGGCCCCTAATCTGCCATAGGCCCCTATATACCGCTTCCTCATGCTGCTGCCAGGTCCAGAGTCTGTCATGGGTCCCTGTACGGCCTCCCATTGCTGCTGTCTCCATCGCCACACTCTGCCATGTGCCACTTTCAGGTCTCCTCACACTGCTGGTGTGTTGAATTTTTTTTGACATAGGGTGCTGGCAGATTATGGGCCTCCCTATAGCTGCTGCCAGGCCCCTAATCTGCCATGGGCCCCTATATACCGCCTCCTCATGCTGCTGCCAGGCCAGAGTCCGCTCATGATCATCATGTCATCTGTACTCCCATTGCTGCTGTCTCCATCGCACTTGTAGGTCAGACAATTCATGCTCTGCTGCATCGCCACACTCTGCCATGTGCCACTTTCAGGTCTCCTCACACACTCTGCTGTGTGTAGAATTTTTTTGACATAGGGTGCTGGCAGATTAAGGGCCTCCCATAGCTGCTGCCAGGCCCCTAATGCCCTCATAGGCCCCTATATAAACCGCCTCCTCATGCTGCTGCCAGGTCCAGAGTCTGTCATGGGTCCCTGTACGGCCTCCCCATTGCTTCATGCTGTCTCCATCGCCACACTTAGGCTGCCATGCAACTGCCACTTTTTCAGGTCCCTCACACACTGCTGGTGTGTAGAATTTTTTGACATAGGGTGCTGGCAGATTATGGGCCTCCCATTGCTGCTGCCAGGCCCCTAATCTGCCATGGCCCCTATATACCAGGATCCTCATGCTGCTGCCAGGTCCAGAGTCTGTCAAGGTCCCTGTACGTCTCCCATTGCTGCTGTCTCCAGGTGTGCCATGGACTGCATCACGTTTCCATCCACACTCTGCTGGTACTGAGAGAATTCATGGTACCTTGCACACGCTGAAGCTTCCCTGTGACCAGCAGGCAGATTACAGGGCCTCCCAAGCTGCTTGCCAGGCCCCTAATCTTCCAGTAGGCAAGGTATACGGCCTCCTCATCCTGCTGCCAGGTCCAGAGTCTGATCCATGGGTCCCTGTACAGTTCTCCCATTGCTGCTGTCTCCATCGCCACAGAACACTCCCATGTGCCACTTTCAGGTCTCCACACACTGCTGGTGTGTAGAATTTTTTGACATAGGGTGCTGGCAGATTACGGGCCTCCCATAGCTGCTGCCAGGCCCCTAATCTGCCATGGGCCCCTATATACCCACCTCCTCAAATCTGCTGCTCAGGTCCAGAGTCTCTCATGGGTCCCTCACGGCCTCCACTGCTGTCTCCATCGCCACACTCTGCCATGTGCCACTTACGCTTCAGGTCTCCTCACAGCAGTCGCTGCAAGAATTTTCTTTCATGGGTGCCACATTACGGGCCTCAGGTAGCGTTCAACAGTGCCCATTGCCTGCCATGTTTGCTGCTGAATGAACACTCTGCCATGTGCCACAGGTCTCCTCACACACTGCTGGTGTGTATGGGCCCATCTTGCTGCAGATCTATGGGCCTCCCATAGCTGCTGCCATGGCCCCTAATCTGCCATGGCCCCTATATAACCTCTTCCTCATGCTGCCAGCCAGGTCTCAGAGTCTGTCATGGGTCCATGTACGGCCACCCATTGCTGCTGGAGCTCCATCACACACTCTGCCATGTGGGCTTTTATGCAGATTACCTCCTCCACATGCTGCTGTGTACAGGCCCCTAATCTGCCATGGGCCCCTGTATGATTACCTCCTCCTCATGAGCTGCTGCCAGGCCCCTAATCTGCCATGGCCCCTATATACCGCCTCCTCCCATTGCTGCTGTCTCCATCGTCCACAGTCATGTCATGCCATGTGCCACTTTCAGGTCTCCCATTGCACTCCTCACAATTGCAAATGACACTCTGTGTGCCACTTTCAGGTCTCCTCACACACCCTTTGTAATTTTTTGACATAGGGTGCTGGCAGATTACGGGCCTCCCATAGCTGCTGCCAGGCCCCTAAATCTGCCATAGGCCCCTATATACCGCCTCCTCATGCTGCTGCTGCCAGGGTCCAGAGTCTGTCATGGGTCCCTGTACGGCCTCCCATTGCTGCTGTCTCCATCGCCACACTCTGCCATGTGCCACTTTCAGGTCTCCTCACACACTGCTGGTGTGTAGAATTTTTTGACATAGGGTGCTGGCAGATTACGGGCCTCCCATAGCTGCTGCCAGGCCCCTAATCTGCCATAGGCCCCTATATACCGCCTCCTCATGCTGCTGCCAGGTCCAGAGTCTGTCATGGGTCCCTGTACGGCCTCCCATTGCTGCTGTCTCCATCGCCACACTCTGCCATGTGCCACTTTCAGGTCTCCTCACACACTGCTGGTGTGTAGAATTTTTTGACATAGGGTGCTGGCAGATTAAGGGCCTCCCATAGCTGCTGCCAGGCCCCTAATCTGCCATAGGCCCCTATATACCGCCTCCTCATGCTGCTGCCAGGTCCAGAGTCTCTCATGGGTCCCTGTACGGCCTCCCATTGCTGCTGTCTCCATCGCCACACTCTGCCATGTGCCACTTTCAGGTCTCCTCACACACTGCTGGTGTGTAGAATTTTTTGACATAGGGTGCTGGCAGATTATGGGCCTCCCATAGCTGCTGCCAGGCCCCTAATCTGCCATAGGCCCCTATATACCGCCTCCTCATGCTGCTGCCAGCCAGAGTCCATGGGTCCCTGTACGGCCTCCCAGTGCTGTCTCCATCCCACACTCTGCCATGCCACTTTCAGGTCTCACACACTGCTGGTGTGTAGAATTTTTTTGACATAGGGTGCTGGCAGATTATGGGCCTCCCATAGCTGCTGCCAGGCCCCTAATCTGCCATAGGCCCCTATATACCGCCTCCTCATGCTGCTGCCAGGTCCAGAGTCTGTCATGGGTCCCTGTACGGCCTCCCATTGCTGCTGTCTCCATCGCCACACTCTCTGCCATGTGCCACTTTCAGGTCTCCTCACACACTGCTGGTGTGTAGAATTTTTTGACATAGGGTGCTGGCAGATTATGGGCCTCCCATAGCTGCTGCCAGGCCCCTAATCTGCCATGGGCCCCTATATACCGCCTCCTCATGCTGCTGCCAGGTCCAGAGTCTGTCATGGGTCCCTGTACGGCCTCCCATTGCTGCTGTCTCCATCGCCACACACTCTGCCATGTGCCACTTTCAGGTCTCCTCACACACTGCTGGTGTGTGTAGAATTTTTTTGACATAGGGTGCTGGCAGATTATGGGCCTCCATAGCTGCTGCCAGGCCCCTAATCTGCCATAGGCCCCTATATACCGCCTCCTCATGCTGCTGCCAGGTCCAGAGTCTGTCATGGGTCCCTGTACGGCCTCCCATTGCTGCTGTCTCCATCGCCACACTCTGCCATGTGCCACTTTCAGGTCTCCTCACACACTGCTGGTGTGTAGAATTTTTTGACATGGGTGCTGGCAGATTACGGGCCTCCCATAGCTGCTGCCAGGCCCCTAATCTGCCATAGGCCCCTATATACCGCCTCCTCATGCTGCTGCCAGGTCCAGAGTCTGTCATGGGTCCCTGTACGGCCTCCCATTGCTGCTGTCTCCATCGCCACACTCTGCCATGTGCCACTTTCAGGTCTCCTCACACACTGCTGGTGTGTAGAATTTTTTGACATAGGGTGCTGGCAGATTATGGGCCTCCCATAGCTGCTGCCAGGCCCCTAATCTGCCATAGGCCCCTATATACCGCCTCCTCATGCTGCTGCCAGGTCCAGAGTCTGTCATGGGTCCCTGTACGGCCTCCCATTGCTGCTGTCTCCATCGCCACACTCTGCCATGTGCCACTTTCAGGTCTCCTCACACTGCTGGTGTGTAGAATTTTTTGACATAGGGTGCTGGCAGATTATGGGCCTCCCATAGCTGCTGCCAGGCCCCTAATCTGCCATAGGCCCCTATATACCGCCCTCCTCATGCTGCTGCCAGGTCCAGAGTCTGTCACTCATGGGTCCCTGTACGGCCTCCCATTGCTGCTGTCTCCATCGCCACACTCTGCCATGTGCCACTTTCAGGTCTCCTCACACACTGCTGGTGTGTAGAATTTTTTGACATAGGGTGCTGGCAGATTATGGGCCTCCCATAGCTGCTAGCTGCTGCCAGGCCCCTAATCTGCCATAGGCCCCTATATACCGCCTCCTCATGCTGCTGCCAGGTCCAGAGTCTCTCATGGGTCCCTGTACGGCCTCCCATTGCTGCTGTCTCCATCGCCACACTCTGCTGTGCCATGTGCCACTTTCAGGTCTCCTCACACACTGCTGGTGTGTAGAATTTTTTGACATAGGGTGCTGGCAGATTATGGGCCTCCCATATAGCTGCTGCCAGGCCCCTAATCTGCCATAGGCCCCTATATACCGCCTCCTCATGCTGCTGCCAGGTCCAGAGTCTGTCATGGGTCCCTGTACGGCCTCCCATTGCTGCTGTCTCCATCGCCACACTCTGCCATGTGCCACTTTCAGGTCTCCTCACACACTGCTGGTGTGTAGAATTTTTTGACATAGGGTGCTGGCAGATTACGGGCCTCCCATAGCTGCTGCCAGGCCCCTAATCTGCCATAGGGCCCCTATATACCGCCTCCTCATGCTGCTGCCAGGTCCAGAGTCTGTCATGGGTCCCTGTACGGCCTCCCATTGCTGCTGTCTCCATCGCCACACTCTGCCATGTGCCACTTTCAGGTCTCCTCACACACTGCTGGTGTGTAGAATTTTTTGACATAGGGTGCTGGCAGATTATGGGCCTCCCATAGCTGCTGCCAGGCCCCTAATCTGCCATAGGCCCCTATATACCGCCCTCCTCATGCTGCTGCCAGGTCCAGAGTCTGTCATGGGTCCCTGTACGGCCTCCCATTGCTGCTGTCTCCATCGCCACACTCTGCCATGTGCCACTTTCAGGTCTCCTCACACACTGCTGGTGTGTAGAATTTTTTGACATAGGTGTGCTGGCAGATTACGGGCCTCCCATTGCTGCTGCCAGGCCCCTAATCTGCCATAGGCCCCTATATACCGCCTCCTCATGCTGCTGCCAGGTCCAGAGTCTCCATGGGTCCCTGTACGGCCTCCCATTGCTGCTGTCTCCATCGCCACACTGCCATGTGCCACTTTCAGGTCTCCTCACACACTGCTGGTGTGTAGAATTTTTTGACATAGGGTGCTGGCAGATTACGGGGCCTCCCATAGCTGCTGCCAGGCCCTAATCTGCCATGGGCCCCTATATACCGCCTCCTCATGCTGCTGCCAGGTCCAGAGTCTGTCATGGGTCCCTGTACGGCCTCCCATTGCTGCTGTCTCCATCGCCACACTCTGCCATGTGCCACTTTCAGGTCTCCTCACACACTGCTGGTGTGTAGAATTTTTTGACATAGGGTGCTGGCAGATTACGGGCCTCCCATAGCTGCTGCCAGGCCCCTAATCTGCCATAGGCCCCTATATACCGCCTCCTCATGCTGCTGCCAGGTCCAGAGTCTCTCATGGGTCCATGTGCCACTTTGCTGGTCTCCTCACACCACTGCACTGCTGGTGTGTAGAATTTTTTGACATAGGGTGCTGGCAGATTAAGGGCCTCCCATAGCTGCTGCCAGGCCCCTAATCTGCCATAGGCCCCTATATACCGCCTCCTCATGCTGCTGCCAGGTCCAGAGTCTGTCATGGGTCCCTGTACGGCCTCCCATTGCTGCTGTCTCCATCGCCACACTCTGCCATGTGCCACTTTCAGGTCTCCTCACACTGCTGGTGTGTGTGTGAATTTTTTTGACATAGGGTGCTGGCAGATTAAGGGCCTCCCATAGCTGCTGCCAGGCCCCTAATCTGCCATAGGCCCCTATATACCGCCTCCTCATGCTGCTGCCAGGTCCAGAGTCTGTCATGGGTCCCTGTACGGCCTCCCATTGCTGCTGTCTCCATCGCCACACTCTGCCATGTGCCACTTTCAGGTCTCCTCACACACTGCTGCTGTGTGTTGAATTTTTTGACATAGGGTGCTGGCAGATTATGGGCCTCCTATAGCTGCTGCCAGGCCCCTAATCTGCCATAGGCCCCTATATACCGCTTCCTCATGCTGCTGCCAGGTCCAGAGTCTGTCATGGGTCCCTGTACGGCCTCCCATTGCTGCTGTCTCCATCGCCACACTCTGCCATGTGCCACTTTCAGGTCTCCTCACACTGCTGGTGTGTAGAATTTTTTTGACATAGGGTGCTGGCAGATTATGGGGGCCTCCTATAGCTGCTGCCAGGCCCCTAATCTGCCATAGGCCCCTATATATACCGCCTCCTCATGCTGCTGCCCAGGTCCAGAGTCTGTCATGGGTCCCTGTACGGCCTCCCATTGCTGCTGTCTCCATCGCCACACTCTGCCATGTGCCACTTTCAGGTCTCCTCACACACTGCTGGTGTGTAGAAATTTTTTGACATAGGGTGCTGGCAGATTACGGGCCTCCCATAGCTGCTGCCAGGCCCCTAATCTGCCATGGGCCCCTATACCGACTCCTCATGCTGTGACGTTGCAACAAGGTGGAATTCAACCCTACATATGTTAGACCGCCTTTACGAACAGCAAAAGGCCATCACAGATTTCCTGATGTTAAAAGCGGATAAAGGTACTCCCCTGTGTAACTTAGATGTCAGCCATTGGCAGCTCATGCGTGACACCTGCGCTTGCTCAGCTCAGGCCCTTTGAGGAGGCCACGCTATTCGTGAGTCGGCAGGACTATGGGATGAAACGACGTCATTCCTCTGTTGCACGTCCTGGAACAAATGCTGTTAACAATGGCTGGTCAGGGTGCGGTAGACGTGGCGCACAGATCTCAACGCCACATGACCCCTGTGGGGGCAGGACAGGAAGAAGAGGAGGAGGTAGAGGAGGACATTGGTGCTCAGGAATTATTGAGTGAAATGGGTGGTTTTTCCACTCAGCGGACAGGAGTGGAGGAGCAGGAGCATCTGGTAGAGGAGAGGAGGAGGAGGAGGAGGAGAGGACCCAGACGCACCGTGGCAGTATGCTGTGGAGATGGAGGCAGGGAGAGCCCTCGCATTCCTTGGCACAAATGGCCCATAGCATGCTCGGTTGCTTGCGTAGCGACAGCCGAATAATAACCATCAGACAGAGGGATGACTTTTGGCTGTCCACCTTGTTGGACCCTCGCTACCGTTCAAAAATGGTGGCCTTTTTCACACCTGCTGAGAGGGAGGCCAAAATAACGTACTATAAAAACCACCTATGTAGTCAGCTGGTCTCTGCCTGTCTGCGCCAACGTCCATCCTCAGACACTGTGGGCCCTGTGCGCTCGCGTTCCGCTGCCATGGCAGCAGGGGAGGGGTGGGGTGGTAGGAGCAGTGGCAGCTCCACCAGCAGCGGCTGCCTCAGTCTGCAGTCGATGATGAGTAGCTTTCTTCACCAGCGCAGTGAGGAAACTACTAACCAGCCGCAGCAGCAGCAGCAGCAGCAGCAGCATCAGGTGGACCTGGAGCAGGACCTCAAACAACAGGCTTAGGCCTACTTGGACAGCACCCTGCCAACCGAGGTAGACAATCCCCTTGACTACTGGGCAACGAAACTTGACCTTTGGCCCCAACTAGCTGAATTTGCCCTTGAAAGGCTGTCATGCCCGGCCAGTAGCGTGGCATCGGAGCGCGTGTTTAGTGCGGCAGGAGGTATTGCAACTCCGCGGAGGACACGACTGTCCACCCAAAGTGTGGAGAGACTGACGTTTGTGAAAATGAATCAGGCGTGGATTAGTCTGGATTTCAAACCACCAGTTCCTGACACAACTGACTAAATCCGCCATGAATCATGCCCCAAACATGTGCCACTTTCAGGTCTCCTCACACTGCTGGTGTGTTCCATTTTTTGTCATAGGGTGCTGGCAGATTACGGGCCTCCCATAGCTGCTGCCAGGCCCCTAATCTGCCATGGGCCCCTATACCGCCTCCTCATGCTGCTGCCAAGTCCAGAGTCTCTCATGGGTCCCTGTACGGCCTCCCATTGCTGCTGTCTCCATCGCCACACTCTGCCATGTGCCACTTTCAGGTCTCCTCACACTGCTGGTGTATTCCATTTTTTGTCATAGGGTGCTGGCAGATTACGGGCCTCCCATAGCTGCTGCCAGGCCCCTAATCTGCCATGGGCCCCTATACCGCCTCCTCATGCTGCTGCCAGGTCCAGAGTGTGTCATGGGTCCCTGTACGGCCTCCCATTGCTGCTGTCTCCATCGCCACACTCTGCCATGTGCCACTTTCAGGTCTCCTCACACTGCTGGTGGGTTCCATTTTTTGTCATAGGGTGCTGGCAGATTACGGGCCTCCCATAGCTGCTGCCAGGCCCCTAATCTGCCATGGGCCCCCGTACCGACTCCTCATGCTGCTGCCAGGCCCGTAATCTGTCATGGGCCCCTGTTGTCGCTTGTTGGCATATTCCGCTCGTTCAGATGCTCCTTCTCCTGCTACTCCTCTTCACGGATTCCGTCAGCAGTCTTTCTTGGAATCCGTTTCCAAGAGACAACAGTTTGCGAGCACGCACCAGACGGTGCAGAAACTGAACGTCCTCCTGTCCAAGTTGCTGCTGCCAGGCTTGTAATCTGTCATGCGCCCCTGTACCGCCTCCTCATGCTGCTGCCAGGTCCAGAGTGTGTCATGTGTGTAATCTGTCATGGGCCCCTGTACCACCTCCCCATGCTGCTGCCAGGTCCAGATTGTGTCATGGGCCCCTGTACCTGCATGTCATACTGCCTGACAGTATTATTTCTCTTCCCCAGCAGACTCCAAGGGCATTTAAATTAAAGGTACAGTGTTCAGCACTAATATTAAGTCTCTCTGAAGCCTAGAAACACCCCCTTTTTTAAGTTAAATTCACAGCGAATATATTCGACTCGAATCGAATTTTTTCTACGAATTCGCCGAATCAGTCGAATCGAATTTTTGAATACTTCGCTCATCTCTAATTGTGAGATTTTGAGTGCAAACCTCCTTCCATCAGCAAGGGCATTGAAGATGAAACGTGTCTGGGTCTTCCAACATGATAATGATCCCAAACATACCGCCCGGGCAATGAAGGAGTGGCTTCGTAAGAAGCATTTCAAGGTCGTGGAGTGGCCTAGCCAGTCTCCAGATCTCAACCCCATAGAAAACCTTTGGAGGGAGTTGAAAGTCCGTGTTGCCCAGCAACAGCCCCAAAACATCACTGCTCTAAAGGAGATCTGCATGGAGGAATGGGCCAACATACCAGCAACAGTGTGGGCCAACCTTGTGAAGACTTACAGGAAATGTTTGACCTCTGTCATTGCCAACAAAGGATATATAAGAAAGTATTGAGATGAACTTTTGATATTGACCAAATACTTATTTTCCACCATAATTTGCAAATAAATTCTTTCCAAATCAGCCAATGTGATTGTCTGGAATTTTTTTTCACATTTTGTCTCTCATAGTTAAGGTCTACCAGTTGAGGTCTACCTATGATGCCATTTACAGGCCTCTCTCATCTTTTTAAGTGGGAGAACTTGCACAACTGGTGGCTGACTAAATACTTTTTTGCCCCACTGTAAATGTTTTCATTCTCACTACACTATGTCCTGTACTTTTACATACTTGACACCTTCTGCGGGGACAAAAACCTGTTAAATCACCAAACATCTGGACTTTACGTGGTCGTTCAACCACATTAGGAGCAATGAAATGTCTTAAATTTAAAGTCTTTCTAAAAATGATAGGTTTGTCTGGTAATTCGTCCCCAAAAATCTATAATTTTTCAAGATGTTACAATGTTTATTAAATAGTTTCTTAATATTGCTTTGAAAATGCTGCTTTGAAATTGTAGTGCTAAGAGTCCTTTCAAACCCACTATCTCCTTGTTTTTAGGTCTGTCATTCAGTAGTTCCTCACATTCCAACTGAGAAACAGATGTTATAACTGTCTGCAGTTTTTCATCATCATATGGCTTTGATAAAAATAAATGAGTGTACTTGTGAGCTACTATGGTGTTTGTCTAAACTCTTATCATTAATTAATTTGACAAACAAAACAAAACACAATATATGATACACCTGTGGTTCGCTGGCACTCACACCTACTCATTAGACAGTGTTCTGTGAGAAAATTAAATATATAAATTGTGCCTTGCTCCTGTGTATAAATAATTACAATATTCACTATTTCAAATAACAATCCAAAGTAAAGAATGATATATACTTATATCTAGTGTATAAAATAAAATTATCTACTGCTTATAACATCATAAATAAATACCGCATTCTGTGCTCGTGACAATAATAAATAATGATAATGATAAAAACAATATATATGAAAAATTGTGCTCATAGACCGTCCTCTTTCAATATAAATTGTGATGGTGCAATGCCGCTCCCATAATCCACGTGCAGTGTGATTTTATTATTATGAGCTCACCGCAGGTTTTGCCTTATAAAAAGGCAAAACTAGCTTTTTGTCCTTATAGGACTGCTGGGATGATCCTCCTGCTTAGGATATTCCTGATGGCAAATGGGATGATTATGCTAGATCTTAATCCACCTGGGATCTCTGGAGTGATTATGCCTGCTGCTGATCAGGATTTGATGGCTGGATGGATATTT